TTGAGAGAGAGAGAGTGCGCACGAGTCGGGGGAGGGGCAGAGAGAGAGGGAGAGAGAGAGAATCCTCAAGCAGACTCCCCGTTGAGCACGGAGCCTGATGAGGGGCTCTATCCCAGGACTCTGAGATCATGACCTGAGCCGAAATCAAGAGTCAGCCGTTTATTCGACTGAGCCACCCAGGCACCCCCCAAGTTGATTTCTTATCCTAACTGCAGGCACCCGGGTATTCTATACATCCAGCACAATTTGATGAATAATTTTTTTCCAACCTGGAAAAAAAAAAGGATATTCCTTTTCAATCCTGGAAAAAATTAATTCATTTTTAACAAGCCTGGAAGGACCCAGCTGCCAAGAAGCCCCGGGACTCTGGGCCTCCTGTTCACTCTTCTCTTCTTGCCTTTACACCTCTCCACCCTTTCTTTGTTTGAGCGGATGTTTCTGCTTCAGGCTTGACTGCCTCCTGCCCCCTGCCTGCCACTTCTGGTATTCATGCAGAAGTCATTCTCAAGCCCTGGACAAAAGCTCCTTGTCCCCTAAGGCTCCAAGTCTCCTTGGCACACACTCCCTGTGTTTCCAGGTACCTAAGACTCTGGGTCCTGGGTCTGTCCTGCCAGAACATAAAGGTGCTGGGCTCAGTGGGACCTTGACTCAGGACCTAACAAGCTAGGAGAGCAGAAGCCAGTGGGCTGATCTCAAGGGGTACCTAAACTTGGGGAAAAGATGGGGGACTCAGGAGAAATGGCTCTGTTTCTGTGCTCCCAGACCCTGAGGCGCTACAATAGGCTTTCTTTCCAGCCCTGAAAATCTGTCACATGCAACTGTTTCTTTGTAAGTCAAACTTTGTTTCCTAGCTCAACACCACACACACACACACACACACACACACACACAGACACACAGACACACAGACACACGAGAAAAGAATTAGGGAAATGCTTAATGTTGTAAGTGCTTGAAGTCAGAGACAAGAAAGGCATTTGCCAAGGCACTTCCTGGCTTGGTGCATGCGCAGGTGATTAAGGCACTGTTTAGGGAGGAACTGAGGTCTGGTGGACAAACATGGAGTTCTAACCACAGCCCAGTTATTAGTCCACAGGAAACATCCTGTTACTATTATAAAGATGAAGTGCTACTTTTTTTTTTTTTGAAGAACTTTCTAAAAGTCTTCCTTTTCATTCTGATTCAGTTCAAGTCTGTGAGACAGGAAGGTCTCAGGGTAGCCATGCCTGCAACATTAGCTAATCAGACTCCCAAGAAACATTCCATTCTGCTTAGGAGGGCTTTGGAGAATGGTTTGCTCGTGGTGGCTTTTAAAATAAACTGAGGGTTGCCAGGCTGAATGGACTCCCTGAGGGGCTAGTGACCTGGTTCCAGGCTGGTGCCCAGCAGGCTTGCCTCCTGGTGGGATGGTGGATGTATCATTAAACATGGTTGCTCTGCCTGTTCCATCCTTTGTGGGTGAAATAGGAAGTCTTGTAGCCTCTGTCCCTTTCCATTTAAAATTGGGGAAACTGAGGCCCAGGAGAGTAATAACAAAAGTTAATAGTAGCAACCAACACAGCACTTTACATTAGCTTATCTGTAAGTGTCAAGGGGAGGGGCATCGTAGCATAGTGGCAAGAAAGATTTGGTTTCAGATCCTGGTTTTGCCACTTTGAAGCTGTATGACCTTGTGTAAGTAACTAATCTCTTGGAGACTCCGTTTCCTGGTTTGTAAAACATTGATAATGATACCTGTTCTGCAGGGTTCTTATAAGGAGTAGAAATAATGGATATAAAGTACCTAGAGTAGGGCCTGGAACCTAGGAGGTAACTGATCAGTGGTCTTTCTTTTTATTAGGGACACAATGCAGGCCAGCCATAGGATAAATAGTGTTTTCCAACCCTGCTTGACAGCAAGAATTACCCAAGGAGCTGGTTGAAAACAGATTCCCAGGCCTCAGCCCCTGCAGTCTCTGGAGAGGCATGGGAATCAAGTATAACAAGTCGCCAGGTGATTTCTATCAGGCAGTTTTGGAACACATCCAGGAACCCTCTATTCCAACCTCTTGGTTTGGCTCTTTTGTTCTCTATGCACCTGGCCCCATATTCAGTAAAGCTTTAGCTTTTGCTTGAAGGTGGACATGATTAAAAGGTCAACTATCATTACACACACATTACATATTCTCAAAGAGAATGTGCCTTGAACTTTGCATGGTAGATTTATGCCCAAAAAGCTATTTGCAAATGGAATTTGGGGTGTGTGTGTGTGTGTGTGTGTGTGGGAGGAAGGGAGAGAACAGGCATGTATCTAATACCTTAGTTTGCTATTCAAAGGAATGCGTTCAATTCAACTAGCTGAATATTATTTGGGTGACTATTATATGCTGGGGAGACGATGAAGAAGATGCAGACCTCGTCTTCAGTTGGCTTACTTAGAGTCCATTGAGGAAGATGGTCACATAAACAGGCACTTACAACACTGGTTACAAAAGGTTAGCACAGGGAACTATGAGAGCATGGAGGGGAAGTGGGCCCCACTCAGGGGTGGGGTATCTGGGAAGTTCTAGGGGAAGTGACATCTGAAGGCAAGACCTATACACTGGAATTTAGTCTCAAATCCTTTTGCAGAGTGAATGATCCTTCCTTAATGCATCCATGTGGAAAAATGAACTTTTACATCACGGTCACCCTGGATACATTTATACAACCATGCAGCTGCACAAATACCGAGTTCCTGCTATGGGCAAGGCACAGAGTCAAGTGTTGTAGGGCAAGTAGGGTGACAAAGGCCCAATCCCTGCCCTCAGGGAGTTTACACCACACCTCCTCAGCACTGATTTCTCATATAGGTCATTCATCCAGTGTGATCTGTTTATGACAGAACAGGTAGTTTATTATTCAGGTCTTAACTCCCTTTGCTGAAAAGACTGTTTTCTCTTTCATCACCATGGAGTAGGGAAATCCAGTTCCAACCAACACTTAAACTTGGGCATACATTTTACCCAAGAGAAAAATCAAAGCGCACCCTGGAGTTCATGGCGCTCTTTGCAGATCCAAGCTGTGAAGCCGGGGAGGCCCGGATGGATCTGTAGGGTCTGTAGGGTTTGCACCTGCGGCAGCCTGCAGACCCGGCAGCTCCTGCAGTAAGTCAAGCTTTCTTTCCCTCTGGGCCTCACGGACACTATTGCCTTTCAAATCACCTGTCTCTCCTCCAAGAAGGGGAAGAGGCAAGGAGGGAGAGAATTCCTTGTGCATTATGATAATTACATCATGTTTAAACAAAAGATGGCAAGGTGTTTAAGCTAGCAGGTCAAGTCTCCACACCATCTGTGCTTGTCTGTGTGTATGGTCTGGTAGGAGCTTTTGAGTGAAGGTGTGTTCCCATCTTGCAGATGGGGAACCTGAGGTACAAGAGGGGTCTGGAGGCAGTTGGACACCTGGTGGTTTGCACCTTGCTAAACTCCTCTTTCAAAATCTCCCCCCAATATCAACACCCACCACCCCCAGCCTCCCATTCCCTGCTTCTCAAAAGAACAAGCCTAAAGCATCTGCCTCCTGTTTTTTTTTGCCAAGTTGCTCCCACTTCCTGAGACCCTGCCCCCCTCTATCTGCCTGGTGAAATTCAACCCATCCTTCAAAGCCGAGCTCAGGAGTCACTTCTCCCCCTGGTTGGAATTCATCTGTCCCTCCCGGGCACTCCTTGGCTTGGCCCTTTCTCTCGTTACTTCTCCTAGGGCAAATGGCTTAGCCTCCCAGATCCTCAGTTTTCTCCTTTGTGCACGGGCATAGTAGGGACATCAACAGTTATCTTGAACACCTTGTAGCTCGTGGTCTTCTTCCATGATGCGATGAAAGTTGCCAGAAGAGCGAGTGCTTACTGAGGCCCATTATGCGTCAGGCCGGGTGCTTAGGACTTTCCTGCCCGTTAGCTCATGTAATTGTGAGTCAAGTCTTCCTAGACGGGTACTAGTATTATCTTCATTCCACAGATGAGTGGGGAGGCCCAGAGAGGTGAAATGCCTCTTCCGATGTCATACAGCTAGTCCTACTAGCAGAGCCAGGTTTACCGTACGCCAGAGCTGGGGTCCTAATCCCCGATCCGCTCCAATGCCGGCTCTCTGCCTCCCTGCCAGGGAGGATGGGGGCGGGGAGAACGCAGCACACAGCGCGTCTCCTACAATTTAGGGGTTCATTCAGCCCCACGCCCTCCCACCGGCCAGGTCAACCAGGCCTTCGCGGGGTCGTTGTCTAAACGCAGGCCTGGCTGTGCCCTCGGCAGGGATCTCGGTCAACATCTGGTGGCCCAAACCCCGGGCCATGGAGTGGAGCCGAGGCTGGGACGCCTGTACCGCGGAGCCGGTCCCGGGTCCCGAGTCCCAGGAATGTGGGAGGGCTGGGCGGAGAGGGCGGGCACGGCGGGGGCGCTTCCTCTGCCCGCCGGCGGGGAGCCGCCAGGGCGCGCGCGGGGCGCGCTACCGCCCCCTCCCCGCCGCCCGCCCGCCCGGCCGGCTGGGCGGGGGGCGGGGGCTGTAGCGAGAGGGCGGCGAGGGGCCGTGGTGCTCTGCAGCCGCCTGGCCGGCCGGGCGGGAGGAAGCGATGAATATTCAGAGGGGGAGGGGGAAAGGAGGGGGCTGAGCGCTCGGCCGGCTCCCTGCAGCCCGAGCCGCATGACGCGCGGAGGAGGCAGCGGGAGCCGCCGGAGCCGCAGGAGCCGGGATCAGGGCGCCGCGCGCGGGGGGTGGGCGCCGCTTGCTCCGCCCCGCGAAGCCCCTGCGCGCCCAGGGACGCGTCCCCCCCGCTGCAGCCGCGCCAGGCTTCGCCGTGTGGCCGCCGCCGCCGCCACCGCCGCTGCCATGTCCCCGGGGAAGCCCGGGGCGGGCGGAGCGGGGACTAGGCGGACCGGCTGGAGGAGGAGGAGGAGGAGGCGGCGGCTGGAGGCGGCGACGGGGGCGCCCGCAGTCGGGCGCACGGCGGGGCCCGACTCGCGCGTCCCGGGCACGTTCCAGGGCGCGCGGGGCATGAAGCGGGCGGCGCGGGAGGCGCGGCCGCCTCCGCGCTCGTCGGGGCTGCGCTGGGCGCTGCCCCCGCTGCTGCTGCTGCTGTTGCGCCTGGCCCAGGTGAGCGACCGGGTGGGCCCGGGCGCGGGGGCCGGGTGGGGGGGGCCGGGCACGGAGGGCGGGGGCGGGACTGGCATCCCCTGCACCTGCCCTGGTGTGCCCTGCCTGCGGGGTCTGCGGGAGGTGGCGAGGGGCCCGAGGGCTCCGCGCCCCCCCTCTTGGAGGGGGCTCGCCGGAACCCAGCCGGCCTCGCGCGCGGGCGATCGAGCCCCTGGCCCGGCTGCCCAGTCCCGGAGGGAGCACGGCGGGATCCGGGGTCCCGGGGTGCCCGTGGCCTCCCGGTGGAAGCCCCCGAGCGGGCTCCAGGCCGTCTCTGGCCCGGCCCTGCCCGGAGCTGGTCACATCTGGCCGGCGCGGGCCCGGCTAGCCCGCCCGCGGCGGCCGGAGGGGGCGTGTTTGAGAAGGGCTCGCGTCGCGGAGCGGGGCCGGCCTGGCCGAGCGCGGCCGACCTCCGACCCGGCCTGCAGGGGCCCGAGGGGCCGGGCCGAAGGGCAGCGGCAGCGGCCCGGGGGAGCCGGGGCAGGGCCGGGCGCGGGGCCTCCGGGCCGAGGGGACCGCTTCTGGGGGAAGTCCCCAGCCCCGGCAAAGGTGGCCACTCGCAAGCGTTCGTCAAGGCGACGGTCCCTTTCCCGGAGAAGCTGCCTGCTTCCCTGGGCGTTTATTTCGTGCTTTGTGGGCGCAGGCTCTCCCCCCACCGCCCTGTTTTCTAGCTTCGCTTTTCAGATACTGCTGTGCCTGGCATTTTGGCGACCGACCTTTCTGAAAGCGCTGTTTCCCCTTCATAGTATTCCCATTGGGGGCGAGGCAGGGCAGCTGGGAGACGTTCCCATGTCACAGATAGGGAACTTGAGAGGGAGAAGTGAAAGAGCAGAATCACCCAGCCCTGGTCGCGGGAGCTGAGCAAGCGGGTTCGTCTTCACAGCCTTCTAGGAGCCTGCTAGGGTCCTGCACCCGCGGTCGAAAGTGGCCTGGTGATACCCCTCTTGTGCATTTTGTTAATGAAAATCTTGCTTGTTTTATACAAACAGCGGTTCTAAGGAGATGATGTTGGAAGCCTGGGAAATTAGTTATTGGTCGAGGATGGTACCTGGTGTCAGGGAAAACTTTTCAAGCACAGATACAGGATTGTCTGAGAGCAGAAACATCAGCCTTGGGGCCGGAAAGAAGCCTAGCAGTCAGGATAAGGGAGCTGGGGCCTGGGGGCTGCAGTAACTCTCAGCACCCAAGAAGTTGCTCTGGGTGCAGAAATACCCTCCCAGTTTTTTCAGTAGACTTTGGAAGGCAGTGTGACCTCCTCCTGCAGAGAATACTGGACTAACTCTACGGCCAGACTTCAGGGTTGGACATGCTCTTCAATTTCTTACACCTTCATTAACGACATTTGTAGGGTGGGCTAACACCACCTGCCCCCAAGAATTGTTTGAGGGGCTTCCACTGGCCAATGTCTGAAAGAGCTTTGTAAACATTAAGAGGTGTCCAGATGGGGTTACATTAAGGCACAGTGTGTATGGACTGCCTTCTCCCTGTCCCTGTAAGGAAATTCATGGAGAGCAGTCTATGAGATTAAAAAGAAAATTGCCTCATAATTAAGGATCTCTTGGACCAAAGTTTATACTAAAGAAATACTTGCTCTTCATTTATTTTTAGTTTAATTTGACACACACATATTTTTTTATTATTTTATGTTTTTACTTTGTCCATGGTGGTTGCTAGCAATGCTTTGAATCAGTGAAAAAAATGTCTGGGGTAAATTGATTGCTTGCCCAATCCTTCCTTGTATTTCAGTAGCAAATTGCTGCTCTTTGCTTGTCCCCTATTCAGATATTTCCTTCCTCTCTAATGTGTTCTGTGGAAACTCAAGGCAACTTTTTTTATTTCTCGTTTTGGGATACATTATAAAATAGGAAATCTAAAAGGTTCTCTGAAAGAGCGTTTTCAAAATCCACAGTTGACAGTTCATTTTGAGAGTGGATATTTCAGGGAATTTTTGAGCCAGACCGGACTTTCAAGATAGCCTGAAACCTTCATTTTTTAGGTGAGAATATTGAGGCCTAGAGAAGACGGTAATCAGGCTGAGGTCAAGACAGTAGAGGAGCTGGGACTGGAACTGTGTTGCCTGCCTCTGCCTAGTATTTTCATGACGCTTTTTCTTTTTTTTCTTTCTTTTGCCATGTTTTCACTTTGCTGTTACTTTTAACTGTAGGCACAGCCCTACCTCACTGTGTACTCCCCAAACTGTGGGTGTAAATTGAATTTTTCAAAAGGAAACATATTTGAGATTGGAAGTCATATTTGAGATTTCTGAAGTTTGTGCATTTAGGAAATGTGGGTGAAGGCATTAGACTACCTCCCTAACATTTGATTGGTTTTCCGACGCTTGGATAGCATGTGTGTGTGTTTTAAATGGAATCAACCGTAGCAGGTTATAAAATGGACAAGTCATGGAAAAGACACAGCTCTGTGAGGGAATTAATGAGGATGGGTGTGGAAGCTGAAGAGCAGAGATGCAGGAAAATTCAGTGCTTAGTAGGGCTGGAAAAGCCATTTTTGACCCTGGCATCTCATTCCCCTTCTTCAAGACGGGAAAGATGGTCAGAGATGATTCCAGCATGAGGACTGTGCTAGTTGCAATGTCTGACTCCACCCATTCTCATAGCATTTTTGCACACTAATTTTGGTTTATGTGTATGTTTTAGGCAACATGACCAAGCAGTCCTGCCCTCGCAGCCCCCTTGCCTCCTTTTCTTGGGAAATATAGTCCTGACCGATTCTTTAAGAAATAGCTTGATAGTGGGCTGCTTTAAAATGGAAAAAAAGAAAAGAAAGAAAGGAAAAAAAGCTGGTGACTGATAGCTGTTTTGTTGGTCTTATAGCGTTTTGGATTTGCTTTTTCTTTGCGTTCTTGTTTCCTGGTGAATAATAACTGCATCTGTGATCTATAATAGCTAATCCTTAAGCCTGCTTACCTACCTGCTTCATCCAGACTACAAAAAATATTTTGACTCCTCTTTAAGTGGCTTGCTAAAATCTCGTATGGGTGACTTTAAATATTTTTGTTTTGCTTCAGAACGACAACGGAAAAACCACACGATTATGTTTTGTTTGCAGACAGTTTAAGGAAAACGGAGCAGACGGGTTTATGGTTAGCCTGTGACTTTGAGTTGATTTCGAGTTGAGCCCTATGATGAAGACAACCACGGATCCCCAAGCTTTCCTGAGCGGGGAGAATCCTGGCTCCTGAGTGAGCAATTTCGGTCAGCAAAGAGGTTATTTAGCTCCTAAAAGTAATTTTTGCTTGGGGTTGAGGCCGAGGTAGAGTTGCTGAATGACTGTAGGCCTGGGTTTAGCCAGCACATCATCTGCAATTACTTCTTAGTCCATTCACTGCTTGGCCAAGGGAATTATTTTGAGTGCAGGGTAAGAGGCAATTTTCTGTGTATTTCCTTTTTAACCTAATGCTGCTGGTAATATTATAATTAATAGGTAACATTATATGTGGCAGGTACTGTGCTCAGGGTTTGAATGCATTATCTCATTTGACCATTTCAGAAATACTAAAAGGTCGGTGTTGTTCATGTTCCCATTTTATCTGAGAGAAAACTGAGGTTCTGTGCTCCCCAATGATTTGTAACTAGGATGTGGTAGAGCCAAGTCTGATGCCTTCACTGCCCCCATTTACTGTCCTGCGCTGTACAAAGTCATTTATTTTAGAGGAGGTCTTCAGTGTGCAAGTAAGAGATGAGGTGACAAGACTTGTGAAGAACAGGCTCGTGGGTTCTGAACCCTGATGGGGCAGGGAGTCATTTTGGCTTCTCTGCATCCGTACTCTATAGGATCTGTTCCATTTGTGACACGGACAACCCAGGTACCTTTTAACTGCTCGTGTTGCTTTGGGAGCCTGAGTCTTAGTGGAGACAGGGTCTGGAGTGGAAAGACCTGGGTTCGGGTCCTCGCTCTGCCACTTAGTAGCTGCATAAACTTGGGCAAGTCCCTTAACCTCTGTGACTCCTCATTTCCTTATCTGGAAAATGGGACCAACATTTCCTGCTTCACTGGGCGGTTGAAGAGGATCAAATATGATAGAAGAGGAACTGCCATATGAAATCTAAAGCACGATTCTAAGGTTGTGGCCACTGCTGTTATTTGGGGAGAAGAAGTGGGGCTTCACATCATTAGTTCGTATAACAAATACTTAATCAAGCGTTTCTCACAGAGCGGCACCTGCAGGCACGCAAGATGAACTTAGCTCAGTCACAAAACATTTTTTTTTTTAAATGTTAAGAATTATTTATTTTAGGGGGTATTAGTAAAAACAAAAATAGTAAGTTGCCTATCATGTCCATGATTTTATAGGTAGAGTGTGGCTAAGTAGTGTCCTGGCATATAAATTTGTTTATGTTTAATAAAAAGCTGATCCAAAGAAAAATATTGGGTCGTTATGAAAGGATGATAGGGTTATGGCAAACTTGCAAAGGTGAAAAATTGCTTAAGTTTGGGAAATACTGGGCACACAGCAGGCAGCCTGCCTTCATGACTTACAGGCCGTGGGAGTGAGACGTTACTCCAATCACCCCCAGCTAACCAGTCACAGTTGTGGTATGGGCTGTGTGTGTGATGCCCTTGTCTTCCACCCCTCGCACCCCCAACAGGGATGAGTGGGCGCAGAGGGTCTCTAAGCCTAGATCCCTGGAAGCGGCAGATATTTCAGACTAGAGAATCCCACAGTAGTTCTGCCGCCACCTCGTATGGCTTTCCAGTGGCTTTTCTGGTGACCCCTCAGAGGACGGGAGCTGTAGGAAATTTGTTATTACTTCCTTATTAGTGATAGCTATAATCATCCCATTGTCTCAGAATTTTCATGGCATGTAAACGCCTGGGTGGGGGGCTGGTGGGACTGAGACGGTGGATTAGGGGGCATTTTGAAAGCGAAGTAGTGTCAGCTCCCATAGAAGGTCTAATTTTAAACATGCAAATAATTTTCAGTTCCACTTTTCCTTCTTCCTGTTAGAGGAAAGCTGTACCCTGTTGCCATTTCTGAGTCTCGAGCAGACAATGTCGTCATTATGCTCCAAACTATCTCCTTCTCCAGGGCAGGAATGGGTGGTGGTTTTCTGGGTGCCTGTGCTGGGCCCCAGCCCAGTGTTGTTTCATGGCTTCTGGGTAAATAAGTGAGTGAATATTAAAACTTAGCACCAGGGGCGCCTGGGTGGCTCAGTGTAAGCATCTGCCTTCGGCTCGGTCATGATCCCGGGGTCCTGGGATCGAGCCCGGGATCGAGCCCCGCGTCGAGCCCCGCATCGGGCTCCCTGCTCGGCAGGAGGCCTGCTCCTCCCTCTCCCACTCCCCCTGCTTGTGTTCCCTCTCTCGCTGTGTCTCTCTCTGTCAAATAAATAAATAAAATCTTAAAAAAAAAACAAACAAAAACTTAGCACCAATGTGGAGTCTGTAACACAGTGATTCTCAATCTTTCCCGGCCGGGGAGGGCGTGGGGGTATAAGACCCTTACAGAGTATGTAAAAGGGAAGCATCCTCTCCCCAAAAGGAATGCACGTGTTTACAACTTTGTATCCAATTTCAAGGGTTTCATAGACTTTTTAAAACAGCCTATGATTCT